CCCGAGTGTGGAGTCCGTGAAAATGTTGCCGAAAAGTAAAAACTCAATTTCCAACTAGTTTTTCCTCTGGCCTTTTCTCTGCGGCACATTTCCCCCGGCCGCAAATCTCGCACAGCTTTCAAAATGTCAGCCCATCGATGGTTGTGCGGTGGTTTTTGGTGTCGAGGTCGTTTGGTTGCACTCTAAGAAAATGCTACATATAAACACGGTTACAACATTTTAAAATGTTTTATTCAAAAAAGAAAATACTATTATAAAAAGACATTTTTAGCTTGATGAAATTATAAGAAATTTTAATTAAAAAGAACAGATTCAGTTTACTTTTCTTATAATTGGTTTCTGTTTTATCTATTTTTTCTCTTATTGAATTTTTGTTTGGTTGGTTTTGTTCTCTGTGTGATGACGTGGATGTCAGAATCCCCATCGCACCGCTCTGCGAACCTCTTGGCGAACCACTCCTCGCACCACTCTGCAAAAAGTTAATGGACCGTGCATGTTTTTCCCTCAGCCGTGGCGCTTAACATTATTTATGATGGATGAAAAACTGCTATTTCTACTGTTCCTCTCAACTCGGTTCGCTTTCAACTTCCTTTCGACATTGCTGCCATTGGTTGTTGTTTCAGTTGCATATTCCACATAGTTTCGCAGTTTTTCCCCCTATGCGCACTGAATGGGTAATTATTTGGCCGCTTTGCCCAGCGGAGATTGAGCCATCGACCGCATTTTCCCGATTGATATTTGTTTTTGGCATTTATTTGATGTCGTGTAGTTTGCCATGACTTTTGGCTAATCTAGGGTCTTAAGAGCAGCCATCCCCTCGCATTTTCACTGGGGTTGCTAATCAAGCCAAACAATGCAATCGTGTTATTGTGTAAATCAATAATTAAAGGAAATGGGTTTGATAAATGGAATATGTTGTTCCATATATCATTTAAGGGGAAAATGGTGGATGTCACAAGATTACTGATTGTACTTTTAAATGAAAGTTGAATACTGTGTTACAAGAACAATTAACAAGGGAAAAATAACTTATTTTTGATATTACAAAAGTAATATATACTTTAATAATTATTAAAGACGAAATGTACTATTGTTAGGGTTTTCTAACGTCAAGATATACTTTCGGTACTGTAATATCTAGCTTTCCTGACAGACAAAATCGATTTTCCCAACTGAAAAGTGGATGAAAACCAAGTCTTCAATAACAGCTTCCATCCAATTACCTTTTTTTAGCCGAATTTGAAATCAGGAGATTCGACAGGGGTTCACTTACTCCATTCCCCTTCCCCTCGAAATTCTGACTCGTTTTCCCCCTCGAAGTGTGACCAGCTTAATTAAACCAGCACAGAAAGTGACCGAAGGCGAGTTGCGAAGGGGCCAGGGGTCATCATCGTTAGCAACTGTTGGCCAGCTCGCTTTTTTTTTCCCTTTAATAAAAATAATTACTCGCATTTTTTGTGTGCTGCTTCTGTTGTCTTCTTTTTGCTGCTGTTTTGTGGCTCAGAGCCGCAATTTTGAAGCGTTTTATGGCCGAGTTTTTGTTTCGTGTGTGCGACGGCCATTTTTTGAGGCGAACGCTTTCCAGATTGCAATCTAAATGGCGTTTTTTCTTATTATTTTTTTTTTTCTGCTTGCCTTAATAATTTTTTTTTGCTGTTGTGTTCGTTTTGTTTTGCGGTAGCGACAGCGGCAGCGGCAGCTTTCAATTTATGAAACACGCTTATTACTTCTCCTCGAAACGCGAAGAGCCGCCGCTCGTTACGCGCTCCTCTCGTTTGTTTGCGCCAGGGCCAAAAGCAGGTAATATGGCAATCAGCCCCCAAGGCCGTCGATCGCGGAGAGGTGGGGAAAGAGGGGAAAAGGGGGGTGAAAAGGGGGTACGGTGATCAGTGTCCGTACTTCACGGCCAGCAGATACGATACAAGCCAGAGCTACACTAACAGATACAGATACAAAATACAAAATACAAAAGACAGACTGAGGCTCAGCCTCTGCCACTTGCCAGTTGGCTGGCCAATTACACAGAGCACTCTTGGCCAAGACTTTTCTACAATTTTGTTTGCTTACGGCCTGCCCCTCCGATTTTACCACAGTTAATTGCACAGGTTGCTGCCGCTGCGGCTGACGGGTTGGTTGTTGTTTTTTTTAAATTGTATTTTCCAGGTTTTTAATTAAAGCTCAACTTGATTTTCAGTTTAGTTGCAATTTCAAAGCTGCTTTTTGTTTTCGCACTTGACGCGAAACAGGTTTGCATTTGATTGGCAGGCCAAGAGCCGGACAAACGGGTTTTGGGAGCACGAATCAGGATGCCGAAGACGTTTTTACGATGCCCCCAGCAAATTACAGTCATAGAGCGCTGTTTGCTGTTTGCTGGTAGTTGACTTTCTTTCAGCCAGTACAGAGCCCACTAACTAGCCTTCGGATTAAGTTAATGCAGACAGCTTCCCATCTGCTGACTGGCCTGCCATCCATCCATCCATTTGCCACTCGAACGGGCCGCGGGTTTTCATGAATTGGCCAGAACGCTGGCCATTAATGCCCGGCCCCTATGCAAATGAGTTTTTGGCCAGCTGAATGGGCCATCAAGCAGCCGCGTAGTGCGTGATCCTTCTCCTCCGCTCCATTCACTGGGGAACTGTTTCGAAACCACTGGCCTTCGATTCAGCATCGTTGAATTGTAGTTGAAATTGAATGCAAGCTGTATCTTGTTTCTTCTATTACTTTTCCATGTATTAAATTGGCAAGGAAGTATGTACTTCCTTGCAATGTTTTGTTGAAGACTTACTTGATTTTTTTTCAATGCATCATCTACTGTCTCAAAGTTTGTTTACAAAAAATCAAAAATGTAAATTTCAAGTCAACTTAAAATGACCTTTTTTACGAATTATTCATTAGAAATGCAAATAGTGACCATCAGAATTATTTACAAAGATGCCAAGCTCTTTTCTAAACTCAGGACAAACAACTAACTTAGCTGACACTCAAGGAAATTATTTTAAACATTCAAGTTTAAAACAATACTGGTGATAAATTTCAGGGCTCTAAAATTGCCGAGAAAAATATCAGTAGTTGCATTTGATATGATTTTGCAACACTGCATATTGGTTTTAAAATATTCTAATGTGTGGAATCATTAAAAAATATATGTGTATTCAAGATCATTATTATTTGAATGTTGAAAACGATGCACAGAATATGGAAACATGAGCTGAGGATTGATTTATTTCGGTGTGGCTTTTCCTTGCGACTTTTCACGCAACGCTTGCCGTCGCTTTGGCAGCCAACCGCAAAGTCCGTCGAGATGTGCAAAGTTTGCCTTCGTGCGGCCTTAATGGCTACTGCACGAGTACTTGGCTCCATATATTATAGTATTCGCCATAAGCCATGAGCTATACTGTATGGATACTATATGGTGTGTACAAACATTCGCTGGTTTGTCATACAAGTTTTTTCCTTAAATGTATGTGTGTAAGTGTCTTTTGAAATGGCCGCAGTCGCAGTCACACGGATGCAAAGGCAGCATGTTATAATTAAAATTAAGGGAAGCAACGCGAATGTAAAAAGGCAAACAGAAGACACAAGACAAAAGACAGAAAACAGAAAAATATACTTCTTGAACTTTGGCGGCGAGCTTTGTGTTTCTCTCAGAAGGCAAAAAAAAAAAAACAAAAAAAAAGTGAACTTCTCACTCGGATCGTATTTGAATGTTCACTTGTTCGCGTGTTTGTGTCTCTTTCTGTCTGCCAGCGAGGCCATAAAACCCAAAATAATACTATGTAAAAAATGTTTTGTGGGGAGCCCTCCCCCTTCGTCCCCCTTTGCCCCCCTTTGCCCCCCCTCCCCTTGCCCCTCGGCCCATTAATGGCGCTCGGGTTCGGCGGTTTCGGAGATCGGAACTCGGAGATCGGAGATCGGCTCTCTTCGCGTTCGCATTCGCGTTTTCGTTTCAGCTGGGGGCTTTGTCTAAACAACAAAATATTGAATTTAATTTTTTAGTGTTAGTTGCTCTCTAACAATTTCGGAGTCGTTATCGCATGCGCATGTCGCGTTCGCGCCTCCGTCGAATAAATTTCTGTTTCTGTTTTTGTCTGCCCGCCGCTGCTTTATCCATTCTCGAAGATATATCTCCTGATTCCGTTCACGATCGATCCCTTTCCATATCCAGTTTGCAATCCCGAACACCAATCCCGATTCAATGGAGCGAGTGCGCGAGTGTGTGCGGGTCATTCGGAAATAATTATGCCGTTCAATTTAACATTTTGACCAGTGGCCATAAATGCTGAAATTTTGAGTTCTTACATGTTGAAAAGTTCATTACTTTGTGAGTCCAAACACACACGAAAAATATTTATAACTGCATCGAAAATTTATTCCGGGCCAATATTTAATGACGGCCGCTCAACGGATTTTATGGGTTCGACGATTTCATTTCAATAATTATTATTACCCTCGGCAGTCCACAAATTTTTAAGTGATTGGGTGCAATACTTGTCCTGGCTTATCGTCCATTTCAAAGAAGCGTTCGATGCGGTGAGTTCTGCATCTCAATTTCGAAGAGTGATGGCTGACATAATCATTATTTCAGATTTTATTATATACTAAAGTGTTTGACGATGTTGCGCAATAGAATCTTGCCGTATTAGGCACGGTAATTAGAAAAGAACTAATTGCATTCTTAATAACTTATTCGTTTTTAGTTGTTTTGTTTATTTTAAATGGTAGATTTAATAATAAAATTACCATTTTATATTTACGTTCTATCGGGTTTTGAGAAAACCAAATAAGATGCCAATTATCGGTTTGCATTTACGATATAAGTTCATAGCAAGCTCAAAATAATATTTTTAAATATTTAAAAAGTGGACTATGTGATTTTTAAAGGCATTAATTACAATTAAAATGTTATAGAGCGGTAATTGATTTGACCAACTTTCTCTTTGTTTTTTATTTATGGCCACTCTTCCGGGATATAAATTAATATTTTTTTATTTCTCTTTCAGTTTTGGCTCCCCTAAATAACTACCCAAATAACTGTATCAATAAAAAGCTGGTAAGTGAAAATTAAATAAAGTAAAATATCCAAATAATTAAGGGCGCATACTGCCCTCCGAATTGAAGCCATGCAAAAGGCAAAAGCCAAAGCCCGTTTCCCAGTTCGAGCGAATTACCTTTTTGATTTTTATGGGCGAGACAATTCGATTGCGCCCAGCGTCGGGGGAGCATTATTGTAACATAAAGTGGTCTGCCCCCTGGTCCCCACCCCCCGCTACTCCTCCCCTACCCCTCTTCCCACCCCCCCACCCCCTCTCCTTCCCCAGATCAACGCCCCTGACCAACCAATTCTGATTCGCGACAAGCGCAGGGCGTTAAAGTGTCCAGGCTGCCGAGGCGGGCGGTATTAAAAATGGCAATAAATAAAGTAAAGTACGGCGAGTACAAGATTTCCCTGTTAAGATCCCACACAGGACTGCCCGGCATTGGGCGTGGCTGTGGGCGGTGGGCGGTGGTGGTCGGTGGGCGCGTTGGTTGGCCAGGACAGTGTCCAAGCGGGCCAATTGTGGTAAATCGGAAGTTAAAGACGGCAATAAAACGACGCAATAAAAATCTATGAATGACACATTAAATCAATTGCCAAAAATCACAAAAGCGTGGAAAAAGTCGCTTATGAGTGGATTTGACCACTTGGGTGGCTGTTAAATGAAATGAATTCATTTCAAAGTTTAAGTGAATTCATTTTATGACCGTGAGAAATCGAACAAGTGGGCTAATTAGTCGGCGGTGGAACTACCTTAATTTCGGAGGCGTCTGAAAGTGACTGCCGTGGCAGACCGACGCCAGATGCACTCCTTGAAAGTCAGGTGCATTCCCCGATTAAGCAATGCACTTCAAAGTCCTGACATTTACAACTCTATTCCCATTGTTTGGCAGACTTTCCCAACGCCAAACCCGATCCCGAAAATAACCGGCGTATGTGGCTTATCCAAAAAAAAAAAAAAAAATAAAGAAAAGTAGGAATAACAATTTTTAACGACTTTCGCCAGAACAAAGGGAAATCGTGCACGACAACAAGAAAATAGCAGCCAAGTTCCACTTATGAAGTAATAAAACGAGAAACGGAGGGAAAACACGCTGCCCGGGGTTTATCGGTGGCAGAAATCGGACTGGAACTCGGACTCCTGCCCATATAGCCGCCATATATTAACGATCTGTGGATCGGGGACTCGAAGGACCAGCAGGTCGCTCGGGTGAGCAGGTGAACGGACCGCCTGCTTTCCCCGGATCTTAAATTTCTTTTTTTCTCCTCGAGTGTAAAGGCCGCCGGTGGCCATTTTTGGATGACTTCATTCGGCAGCTTCAATTGCCGGCGTTTCACCTTTTCTCCCCTGCCGCCTGGGCGTAACATGTGCATCCGCCAGATACCCAGATACTCGGATACTCGAATACTCAGTTACCCAGATACCCGATACCAGATACCCGAACTGAGCTGCCAGTGCCTGTATAAAACCCATAAAATATGTGCACGTCAACGCGCTTCGTGCTGTCTTTTGTGCAGCCATTATTAAATTTCTGATTGTGGCTTTCTACTCGCATGTCTTTTCCTCCTCTCATTGTCTGTCCGTTGGAAAGGGGAAAAGAGGATAGGGGAAAAGGGAGAGGGGGAAGGGGAGTGTCGGACTGGCTGACCGACGGACGAACGGACTGGCGGACCAACGGACCGGTTCGACTTGTTATCTCGTCTTTTCCCCTCGGTTGGCTAATCGAGCTGCGCTCTGATGGGGAACTCGGTATTTTCTCCCTTCAGCGGACAGTGGATAAGAATCCAAAAATTGTACTTTAAAATAAAAAAAAAAAAAAAACTGTGGGAATTACATAAAGAAATATTTATGATCTGAACCATTTAGTTTGCTTAGGTTTGTTTAAGAAACAGCACTTTTAAGATGATAAATTCTATCATAAAAATAAACTTTCCAGACTATTTAGTTTTTGATTTATTTCCACTTCCAAAGCAATTAACCTTCTTACGATTTTCATTAAGTATGAAAATATGTTTTCTATTTTATTTATATTATATTCTGTATAATTAAAAACAAATACAATATTTACTGAAAATAACTTTCAGTTATATGTCTTTCGATTCAGCATGTAAGAACAAATTTGATTGGTTTGAAAAAATTGGTTGTATTGATAATTTTTCATGAAATCCATTGATGGTTTTTGGATTTCTATGATCTCAATTATCTTAAGATCTCTAGCAGTATAAGATCATTTATATTTTGCATACTGCTTTTCTTTTTCTGTCCCACAGTGCACCATTAATTGAACTTCTTCCCCCGGCACCCAAATGAAAATTAGCTTGAGGTCCTCACCATATTAGTAAGCGGGAATTCCATGGAATTAAAGGAAAGGAGGGGGATATTTCGAGGCAGGCGGACATTTTAACATTTTCAGGCTTATCACGTAGTCTTTCTTGCTCTTGGTCTTCAGTTTCAGGTCTTTTTTTTCGAGGCAGGCAACCTGCAGCTGAGCAGAGACAATAATAAAATGTGAAATTTATAATTCAATTAATAACGTCTGCGGGGCAGCGCATCTGAAAGATACTCATGGCGGTCGTCATTCGCTGTGCAGGAATGCGTTAATGGTTAACGATTTCGATCCCGATATCTGAGTTTTCCACTCGCAGGGATTGTTTGCGTTCTCCTCATTTCGCAGGATACAAAATCTATATACAAGCGGAGTACAAAGGCAAAAAGTAAATTGAGAACTCATTGAGTGCAGGCAACGACCCAAGAGGGATCGATATTTCCGCCCACTTCCACCCACTGCTACCCCTCCCCCTTCCCCTTCCCCTTCTTTCTTCCCCTTTGTCCTTCGTCCTTGCCTTTGTGTTTCTGTGGGTGTGTTTGTGTATGTGTGTTTTTAGCAAGCGACAACGTCAGCAAAAGTGTTTTCAAACTCGGCTACCCCAAGTCCTTGGGGGTGGTTCGTGTTTTTCCGAGCCGCTTTTCCACCCCCGCCCCCTCTTTTCCCCCCTTCGCTTTCTTTCTTGCTTTCTCTCTTGCTCCCTTTATCCTTGAATGCTTTTGACTTTGCTTATCGCGACCGCCTGTCGTTTCTGCGGGGGTTGTTTGGGCCAACTTCTCCGCCAGCCAGCGGAAGTGGGTGGTTGTGTGGGTGGCTGAGTGGGTGGAGGCCGTTGATGTAGCGAAACTGAAATTAACCTTTAGGGAGCCGGAGACGCGCACGCTATTTGAATAAATATTTTGCTGACTTTGGCTGCCAGGCATTTTGAGCCAAAAAAGGGGCGGCAGGGGCAGCGAAGGGGTGGTTATATCCCTCCCTATATATGTCTGTATGTGCCTGTATCTGTTTAGCTATGTAACTATTCTATGTGGAAATTATGCTTATGTAAATGAGGCAGTCGCTTTAAAAAAAAAAAAAGAAGAAAAAGAGGGATAAGTGAGTGAGGCGATGGAGAAGATTCTGAACGAGAAATAGAAACACAAAGTAGCAAAGTTTCCATCCCCCGCTGGGAATTTTCCGGCGGAAAAGAGAGCTGGAAAAACAAAATTGATGATTTCACTTATTTTTTCTTTCCTGCGTTAGAAAGACTGACTGGGTTTTATGCGAGGGGCTTTGGGGTAAGCTTAAGTAAGGCTGCGATTCAATTTCGCTAAGTTAAAAGTAGAAAAACCTCTCGCCTGATTTGCATATAGTATGCAATAAGGCGGAGCACAAATCTCTGGAAGATTTTCGGGCGATTTCTCGTTCTGCGACAATTAATTCGCCATAAAATCCCCGCTCTTTTATCACACTCCCAGATGGCGGGGTACAAATATGTGGGGATGGATGAGCTGAGACGCCATCAAATAGCCTAACGACATCATAACTCGTGTCTCGTCGTGTTTGCTGGAATTTTAACTGGTGGCCAATTTAATGCCCATAAACGTGGTATTAACACCTTATTGGAGTGGAGCGGGGCAATTAACACTTTGGCCCACTGGCCATAAAGCCGGACAAACAAGAGGCGCGACCGATTGACCAACTGCATCAATGGGTTAAAGATCAATTGCGATGTCGGGAAAATTCCGCTGCTCGAAAAACCCAGAAAGCCTTGCCGCAAAAAGGTGCCATAAAACAGCCATCGGTACTTGCATGATTTTCAAGTTCAGAGCTGGCCAGCTTTATGGGTCTCGATTTTGGCCAATTCGAATCGAACGGAAGCGACAGGGCAATTGTGTCTATTTTTATGGCCGTCACTGTCGCCTCCGCAGTCCTAATTTAGTAATTAAATTTATGAGTTGGCCGAAGGTCACGGGAGAGAACGTAGTGAAAGTAATGCTCGAATTTAAGGAAGTATATAGCTTTATTTTTACCAAGCGAAGGGCAAAAAGAAAACTGAGTCAGAATGGTGAGCAGACAAAAGTCAAACCAACTGACACGGGGCTTCAACTTTCCGTTGAGTTAATTCCGAGCATTAAACCACTTGGAGCCACTTGTATGCTCCGATCCACTCTGCACCACCAACAACAACAACACCACCACCAGCACCACCACTGCTGACTGCGACTAACCATAAAGTGGCCAAAAGTGTTGTTTTAATTTTAGGGGTGTTTACTTTTATTTTTATTGCAATATATAATGCAATCTACATACAATTTCACTTGCCAAAGAGTTGTGGCTCCCGTGGCTCTCCCTCTCTCTCTATCTCTCTCTTACTCTTTCGCTGTTTCGTTCTCCTTCTCTGTCGCTCCGTATATGTCTGTCGTAAAACGCTTTGCTGGCAATAAAAGGCAGTTAACTAGTTAGATTTAATGTACTAAAATATGGCTCAAGTACAGACACGGCACTTTCTCAGGTGCTTAAACTTATATGAATGCCAGATACGATAAACGGCCGTTTAGGGCAATCGCGGCTAATTGTGGCTTCCACATTTTGGCATTAAGCGGTTGGCTCTCAATTAGCGCTCCTGTAATTGATACCTCAATGCAAACGACCCTTTTAGAGAAGGCTAAAAGGGTGGCGGCCAAGTTGGCCAACCTTTGCTGCCCCAAAAGTGTTCTCAAAAAAGTTCAAGATTTTTTTCGAGAATAATAAAACAGCTTTTAGGTAGAAATACGCTCTAAAACCCAAAAGATTTTAGTGCAGAATCTTAAAAGCTGCATCATTCATCCACTCATCTGATGACATATTTATGGGCACATCTAAGATGTTCTACAAACAGTTTCGCATAAAATCCATACCGTCAATTACTTTTGCGCCAGACAAAGAGCAATGACATTTTGTGTACATAATTAAACAAAGCAATTCCCGATCATAAATTGCAGCAACAATGGATGCGTCCCAAAAGGATGTTGCCAAAAAAAAAAAAAAAAAATGAAAACGATGGGTAAACAAAGTGGAAGAGGCAAGGGGCGGTGGCCATGTTGAAATGGGAACACATGTACTGCATCTTAGGGATACAGATACAATTCAGATTCGTTTTCAGGAGAGATACAAAAACAGATACATGGCTGCCTCTGACATCTTTCCACAAAATGTCTCGCTTGGAAGCTGTCAGCACGATATTTCATTTTTCAGCCCCTCCGTCGCTCTTTGTTCTAATTATGGCTCTTGTGTGTGTGTATCTTGTATCTGTATCTTGTATCTCTCGCTCGGATGATTCTGCCGGCCGTCGTCGTTCTGTTGCCCAATTTCTTCTTCTGGCTGGCTCTTTTCGTAAGAATCCGCCAGAACACGTTTCCACGATCAAAAACGCCAAAACAGGAATGGGAAAACTTGTTTGGAAAAGTCACACAACTCGTATCCATCCACTCCGAGCCACTCGCAATCCAAGCTTAGTTTTTCAGTTTACTCGGAATCGGAATCGGGCCGTGTATATCTGTGATTCGTCTCCGGTCTCCGGTGGCTCGACTTCAGGGAAAAGCGAACGGTGCGGGTCCAGTGAAGAAAAAGGGTTCCGAGAATAAAGAGATTCCAGGCCATTAAAGGTGCCGAGCTCCAGAGAGACGTATCATAATTAGCTGGGAGAAAGATCATTAACGATCATCGCGGTGCGGCTCGGTGCGGGAACCCTGTGTCTAATTGGATAACATGAATTTAATTTTATTTCATTTAATTCGGACGCAGCATCTCCGGCCGGAGAATCCGAGAAGCCCGGGAACAAACAGCCGAAATTTTTTATGGCGACTGGCCAATGAACTTCCCGCTCACCATTCTATATTTTCTCGTTCCTTTCATCGGACATATTGCATGTGAATTTGTCCAAGACGATTATACATTTTTGTGGTAGGTTTATTGTTGTCCGAATTTAAATTTCAGCCCGACTCTGGGACCGGGCACACATAATGAAGCCATAAGCCGCCATTTCGGCCATAAACCCATTTGAATATTAATTTTGTTAATTAACTTATTCAAATTCAAGAATCGTTAAAAATGGAAGAAATTCTTTTTATGGCTCTGGCTCTATTACCAAAAAGAACGGTTGACTGCTGAGAAATGTGAGGCAAAGCCAATGAAAGGCTTTATTGTTGGCGACAAAAGATACAAATACAAATTATTCACAATAATTGTGACACCCACCGAACCGATCTTCCCACGATAATGGTGCTTGGGAATCGGGTTATGGAATAAGTCATTGTGGGTTTTTAATAATTTCTTTATTATGTTTGAGCATAACTAGTTTTTAATTTGGAACATCTCGGGTGAAGGCAATATTATTCTATTAAAAAGAAAATATTTTCTTTTTAATAGAAAGAACTGCATTAGATATATTTAATGAAATCATCGAAATCATTTCTAAATATCTATAACTCTACTAAAATAAATCTCATTAATTAATTCAGGATAAATGATAGAAATAATAAAGAGTTATTTTATTAGCATTTTATATATTTTATTCCTATTATCTTTGCTGAAGTAAAATCTATTTAAATAAATTGCAAGAAAATCCAAAATAAAATGAAGAAATCATCGCAGCGATCATCGCGCTTGTTTCTGTGTGCAGGAAAACTGCATAAAAACCATAAACACCCGAGCATTTTCATCCGAACAAATGGTTTGCGTTTCCCATTTCCCTTTTTCGCCGCCCAGAAGGAACTGCAGTCAACTGATTTTACGAGAGGGCCGAGTGCGATCAAAGCGAAAGCGAAACTCTTGAGGGACACATGGACCAGCTCCTCCAGAATGGAATGGAGTACATTGGAGTGGAGTGGAGTGGAGTGGAGTAAAGTGCAGTTGGGCATGAAAGTACCGAAGGCAGACAGTCGAAGGGCAGGAGTTGACTTTGACCCTGACACAGCCTTTTGGGAGATCCGCATGTGTGTGTGTGTGTATCTGTGAGTGTTGCACAATGCAAATGCGAAACGAGAAACAAATTTTACGACGTGTTTGACGGCTGTCTGTCGCTGCTGTCTGCGAGTCTCCTTGTCTTACTGACTCCGAACCACTGAAGTTTCCCCCTCCAACTTCTCCTTTGCCTTCCCTTTCCCTTTTCCTTTTTTCCGGACCCGGCGCTCACTTCCGCAGCGACTTAAACCCCTGACTCCCAGCTGGAAATCGCGGCATCCTTCATCCTGCATCCTGTTTCCTCGGCCCTCGTCCCTGGTTGGCTGCCAGTTTGGCCTGCATTATTACCTGCGCGGTGTCAAATGCAAACAAGACGTTTGCGCCGGCCATAAAGATGACTTCCTTTTAGTTGTTCTTCCTTTCTTTTTAGAGCAGCAAAAAATCATGGCTGGTTATGAAGAGTGGCGCCTAGTTAAACAAACCTTTTTTAATGGGGTTGAAATAGTTTACTTACTTATAGTTTTTTCCTTTCTTTGCAGTAATTTAAACTGAGCAGTTTGGTGGCGTAGATCCATCCGAAAATCAGCAGCGGCTGCACCCACCAAGCACCGCCCCCACCAACAACTCTCAGCGGTGGCGTCCGGCCAAAACCACCTCGTTGCGCCGACAGCGGCGAGCATCTCTCCCTCCAGCGTCAGTTCCCATCCTCCAGGTAATATATATGAATATTTTCAAAAACCTTACTCAGATAAGTATAAACAAAATTTAAACAAAAACTTGAAGTCTAATACTGATAAGAAAATCGTTCAAAAAATATTTATGTATATGTAAGCAACATAGAAATTTATTTATTGCATAGAAGCTTAATTTTATGGTAATATTTTTATAGAACAAAAATATTATAAAAATTTATTGTGAGTAAATTGATCAATTTATTGTAAGACAAACGCTTTCGTAACTATTTGTAATTCGAAAAATTAAAACATAATCGTATTTAGCACAAACCCTTTTCGACTTTTGAAATAGTAGTAACTAAGAAGTTGCTTAATATTCAAAATGAATGTCTTCACATCTGTTTCAATGTAAAAGTTATTATTATTCATCTTTGCTAACATCGAAATCTGGCATTTTTTCTCAACCCTGGCATAAATGTATTATTGTAATTGCCGAGGATGGAGTTTTATGCGATTGTACAAACATTTTGCCGTCAAACGGGTTGAGATTTGCCCTCGTCCCAACCTTTTTACGATTTGTTAACATTTCTTTGCCCTCGACTCCTTGTCTTTGCCTTTCTTCCAATGGCAATTGCCATAAAATTCCCATAATTGTCCATTGCAGCGTTAAATTTGGCAACTGCCGCCCGGAGCGGAAAAGGGAGGGAAATCTTGGCTGAGAGGCAGAAGAAAGGGAACGGAGAGAGCGATAGGGATAGGGGTTAATAGAAAGGAAACCCGGGGATTCTAAGCAATTGTGTTGTCATAATTTGCCGACTGAACTGGCGCACGCATGTATTTGTTTAGCTAATTAACATTAATTAGTCACTTTCCTTTGATGAGTCGTATAATTAGTTGGGATCCTTGGGTATATTTTATATATATTATTTGCTGTTGGCAATCGATAAAAAAAGCGCCAAGCCAAACTAACTACATACAATGTCGACGGGCTAACACGCCCCCCGCCCCCCATCCCATCGAAATCTCGGCCATAGATGGCGCTGCGGTGCGCGCGTGTTAGGTATTCAAATCAGCCCCCAAAAACGGGCAATAAGAGCGCTGGTTGAGTCAGAGAGCGTCTTTTGCGAAGAGCGGAGGCCTTCACACGTACACTGTGCGTGTGAGTTTCGCCTTCGGTGGGTGACCCTCGGTGGCGATGCTTGGAGCACCTGCTGAGCTCAGCGAATTCCAATCCCAGTTCCAGCCAAAGCGATAACATCTTTTCCTCAAGCAAACTAGCTGAAAAGGTCCAACATTTTATTCCTGAAATTCCCCCATCGAAGTTCAGAACTCTGGTGCTCTTTGGTGCCCCCACTCATTTGCTCACACGGACACGTAGAGTGTGTCTGGGATCCACACACACGCTGTATACACTGTACGTGTGCATAACGCGCCACAAGAAGAGAGCGCGCCGCCAGCAACGGGCAACGGGCAACTAGCAACCACCACCAGCAGCAGCAACAGCAACAGCAGCAACATCAACGGCACAGCAGCAACATCGGCGCATGTCCGCGCTCTCTTTCGATTCACACGTACGGGGAGACACACGCACGCACACACACACACACACAGGAGCGTACTGGCGCCGCTGCCTTTTGTTTAGCCTCTTGACTCTTAGGGCGAGACAGAGAAAGAGCGAGAGAACGCCACCGCTTCTGGTTCTGTGTTGTCGGTTGTCGGTGTGCCAGCGATATGTTGTCGCCGTGCGCTGCTGCCTGCCAGTGTAGATTTGTGCTTCGCTCTGTTCGGTTGAAAGGCGCGCGGGCGTCCAGCAGCAACAGCAACAACACCAAACGCCAACAGCAACAACAACAACACTAAGAGCCAAGACAAGCGGCCCTGCAACTTCGTCGAGGACTGGGACTTGAGCGATTTCGTACTCGGTGTCCATTCAACTGGGAGTATTCCGCTCGCACGGTTCGAAACACACAACTTGAACTGAACTTCAGCAAAAAAATAAAAATAAATTAAAACAAGCGTTTTTGGAATCGTAAAAAATTAAATCAAAAATCGAAAATCAAAATCAAAACACAATATCCCCCGGCGATGTGAGGAGAAATAATAACATTTTTGTTAACTGTTGCAAACATTGCGTTTAATTGTTTGTTTTGGTCGTAAAATCAAATTTTATGACCAGCAACATAAAAAAGGCGAACACGAGCAGCAGCAAAAAACAACAACAACTACTGCAGGCCATACAAATAATAAACTATTTATGATAATTATAAAAAAGCGAAAAAGAAAACAAAAGGCAAGCAAAAATAAAAGAAAAAGTGTAAAGAAAACTTTAGCTGACAAGAGAAAATTGGAAAATTTGGAAAATAGGAATTACCAACTGAAAACTGAAAAAGGCCAATTTGAAAATATTGCGTGCGTTTTCTGGCTACCGCGAACACCCTGTGAAACCGAAACTGATTCGATCCCTTGTGCAACAACAAAGTGACTCTCTTCGCCCGCTCTTTGCGTTGTGTGCGTGTGTGAGTAAGTCGGCGTGTGCGTGTGACCGCTGACGGGCGACTGTGTGCGTGTGCGGTACGCAAAATAAAAAGGGCAGAAAATATAAAACTGATTTGGATAATCAAAAAAAAAAAACTAAATTGGAAAAAAATAAAATTATAATAAAATATTGAACAATTAAAAATACTTCAAGTGGAGGAGTGATAAATAAAGACATCGAAAGGTCGGTGGGTCGAGGCGATCGACCCCACTGCACCGCCTTAACCCTTGCCGCCGCTGTTCGAGTGCAACGCGTCCAAGATAACCGTAAATATTCCACCCCTCCCCCAGACCCCAACCATCCCGCTGGCGTGCGCTCTCTACGACCCCCACGATGTCTCGGCAGTCGGGTCGCACGCCGCTGCCGGGGCGTGGTGGGGGCATCACACACACACCCACACCCACGTACCCACCGCCCACCCGCACCCGCATCCGCATCCCCAGGCGCATCCCTCCCTGCCCGCCATGCAGCAGCACCACCTGCAGCAGCAGCAGCAGCAACAGCAGCAGCAGCAGCAACAACAGCAGCAGCAACAGCAGCAGCAGGAGCAGCAACATCTGCAGGAGCAGCAGCATCTGCAGCAACTGCACCACCATGCGCACCACCACCTGCCTCAGCCTCTGCACACCACCAGCCATCACCACAGTGCGCATCCCCACCTGCAGCAGCAGCAGCAACAGCAGCAGCAACAACAGCAACAGCAGCAACATGCAGTGGTTGCCTCATCGCCATCATCGGTGCTCCAGCAGCAGCAACAGCAGTCGACTCCCACCACACATTCCACGCCCACGCATGCGGTCATGTACGAGGATCCTCCGCCTGTGCCAATTGTCGCCGTGCAGCAGCAACACCTCCCCGCTCCGCAGCAGCAGCAGCAGCAACAACAACAGCAGCAACACCAACAGCAGCAGCAGCAGCAGCAACAGCTGGCGACAACACCGGTGGCCGGCGCCCTCAGTCCCGCCCAAACTCCCACTGGACCCTCCGCCCAACAGCAGCAGCAGCATCTCACATCGCCCCACCACCAGCAACTGCCGCAGCAGCAACAGACCCCGAATAGTGTTGCCAGTGGCGCCTCCTCGAGTCTCCAGCAGCAGCAGCAGCAGAATGCCGCAGTTGCCTCTGGCCAGACTCAGATCGTTGCGCCGACCACGGCGAGTGTTTCTCCCTCCAGTGTTAGTTCTCAGAAGGAAGGTGAGGTCCCAGAAGCATTACAACCTAAATGGGGTTGTAAATTACTCCCAGTTCCTATTGGAGACTTAAATATTTTTTGGGGTTAGGGTGATTAGTGAGAGATATCTGTAAAGAAAATTTGTATTCTTTTGTTATTCCCATCAACGTCCTTATCGGAAGCTATAATGTACTATATACTTTATAATTTAGGACTCTTAAAAGCAAGCTAGGCAGTTGGCTTTATTTTTGTGTTGCATTTGCAATAAGTGTTCCAGTTTGTTGATTACAACACACTTGCAAAATTTGATAAGGGTCTCCTTGACCTCTCCTAGGTATCGTCACGGTTTTAATTCGTTAAAAGTAATATGCTTCAATATTTTCGTTTAATTCATAAATGCAACTGTGTCGAATATTGTGACACATAAACTCTATATTTAAAAAAATAAAAAATAGCAACTACACGACACTTTTCATAACTAAAACTAAAAAACGTTTTAAACCTTACATTTCTTTTTATTTTGATCAGTTATTTTGCCTATAAGGAGGATATCTGTAAGGATATCTTCCAGACTTTGATGAGGCTTTGATAAAAAAAATGTTCATGGGTATAATTGATTTCTGTGTTGTTTAAAAATTTTGATTTTATTTTTTAATACAAATAATTAAAAGGAGGGTTAAGCAAGTTTGTAATGATGCTGCAGTTTTATAAAATATCGAGATAACAGAACTAGTATAGGAAATCATGTGTAATAAATGCAGCGTCAAGGGAGAAACTGAAACTCTGAATAAGTAACCCGTAAAAGAGGTCTTATTAAGTAATTATAAATAGTCGTTAAAGCTAGATTTACCAGACCTTGGATAAATATTAATTCCAACCAATCCACGTGCTCCGTTTGCTTTCAGACATCAATATGTCCATCCAATTAGCGCCACTGCACATACCCGCCATCCGGCCCGGTCCGGGATTCGAGACGGACGCCTCGGCGGCGGTGAAGCGGCACACGGCCCCCTGGCCCTACAACGACGACGGGTTCAACCAGTACCACGCCTCCGCGTCACAGTACTACATGGAGCAGCGCGACCGCAAGCACGCCGCCACCATGTTCCCCTACTATCCAGACACCCAGTTTCAGGTGAGTGCCCGAGGTCGTCCCACCAAACACCACCCAACACTCCCTATCCAATACCCCCCAACCACCCCCTACAATCCCTGACTATTCCGTAAACAACTCAGTTCCAACCGAATCCTCATTTGCCACCCTATTCGCAGCAGTACTGGCCCCCCAACTACCGCGCCGACCAAACCACCTCCGCCGCCGCGGTGGCCTACATGAACGACGCGGAGCGCCACGTGAGCGCCGCTGCCCGCCAGTCCGTCGAGGGCACGTCGACGTCCAGCTACGAGCCGCCCACCTACTCCTCGCCCGGCGGCCTGCGCGGCTACCCCAGCGAGAACTACTCCAGCTCAGGTGAGTCCCCTCCACCCCCCAAAGGTCGCCGCATTTAAGCGAGACGAGCTGCGGTCACTGCGAGAAATTTGCATTGCTTTCAACAGTATCTTAAAGGTTATGCTGGAACTGGTTTTCGGAGTGCTCTCAGTTCAGTTAAATTATCTTTTATTCCGCTGTGTAGATTTTAGATTACAAATTGTATTAAATGGTTTTAAAGCCTTATTAAATATTTAAAAATTATTAATAGAAAAAATATTTTTGTTTTATATTAGTCAATTTAATTTTTAGTAAATAAATAAAATATTAAACCTTTTATTTTCAATTTTAATGAAATGTATATTTACCTTTGTGAGAACTTTCTTAAACGACATGTAAACAAATTATAAACAAATTTAATTTAAACCCCACATGAGACACTAAATTATGTAAATTTTAAAAGCTTAATATGATATGATAAAGATTATAGATTTTCTTTGTAATATTCTTCTTTGAGGACAGACATATTTATTTTTGTACTGAGAAAAATAGTTCAAGCCTTAAAAAGCACGTACCTTTTTTTGACAACTGACTTTGCCAAAATAATTTCGAAACCTATTTGTAATTTCTTCCAAGTGCACCTTACATTCTGCTGCTGTTGAGTTGCTATTTTTGTCACCGTATCGGTTGGAATAGCGAACGGCGAGTTGCGGATTGCGAAACCGGCAGGTTTGCCGTTCAATTAGCGTAGTGCAAAACAGCCCATAAATCGATTCTCGCTATTTGGCCAGCGTTACGCCTTAATGTGGGTGTGAAAGTCGTTGGAATTGCATTCTATGGGGTTGTCTGCTTATGTTCTCGTCTTATCATTAGACTGTTTCAAACCTTCAAAAGAGTTTCTGTCAACTACTCATATTTTCCTGGGGATTCCTCATGAGTAAAAATAAATATTTATCGCGGTATATATCATTAAAACAAGTGTTTCCACGACCTCACTTACAGTTTTTCATTTTTAATGAAGGTCTCAAAGTAATTTAAAACCTTTGTTAATCTGACAGCTTAAAAATATTTTTACCTTTTAATACTGAAAAGATATTATACAAATTAACATTTAATAATATTACCAAAGAGGCTGTTTAATGCGAAGGTCGTTACTAGAAATTTGCAACAAATGCATAAATATATTTTAAATGTGATTATTGAATAAAGTACAACAAAGTTCAAAAGTAGGTTTTTTCAAGAATAAAACTTAAATAGTTCAAAAAACTAAAATCTAGAGAAAAGATGCACCAAATTCCTTATATAAAAAATCTCATTCAAGAAACTTTTAATTCGTGCCAGTGATTGAACTTGCATTTAAATGCAAATAAATCCAACTTGTCACTTACTTTGTACGTAAACTTAATTGCTTCATTTGGGCGACCAATGAGCGGGAACGAATGCATTCATTAAACATTACCCACTCGGGTGTGAATATGGGCCTCATGCCAATTCAGAGTTCCGCTCCTCGTACCGCACCAATTAAGGGGCCATAAACGCCGAATTGAATAATTTTGTATTGCGCTTATTGCTAAACAATTTCCTTAATTGCTCTATAAACTTAACGATCGGATATTGCACCAAACACAACAACAAAAACAACATTAAAAAAAGACCACCCGTACTTTTTATATGCATTGAAGATGGTGTGTTTAACCCTATAATTTTGTGTATAATTTAAGGAGCCTCTGGTGGATTGTCGGTGGGAGCAGTGGGTCCTTGCACGCCAAATCCTGGACTGCACGAGTGGACCGGCCAGGTGTCCGTCCGGAAAAAGCGGAAGCCGTACTCCAAGTTCCAGACTCTGGAGCTGGAGAAGGAGTTCCTCTTCAATGCGTATGTTTCTAAGCAGAAACGCTGGGAATTGGCCAGGAATTTGCAGCTGACTGAGAGACAGGTGAGTGTTTAGTACCTATTAGAGCCAAATAAAATTTTTATTATAACTTTTTCTGATCTGTAGGTCAAGATATGGTTCCAGAATCGCCGCATGAAGAACAAGAAGAACTCGCAGCGGCAGGCCAATCAGCAGAACAACAACAACAACTCGAGCAGCAACCACAACCACTCGCAGGCGACCCAGCAGCACCACAGCAGCCACCACTTGAGCCTCGGCCTGAACATGGGTCACCATGCCACCAAGATGCACCAGTGACCCTTGGACAACAGCAGCGCGGGCGCCATGGGCTTTGCCACCTACTAGCAGTTAGCCAATCCGAGTGCGGGCCACCCGAATCCCCACTCGAATCCCCACTCGAATCCCCACTCAAATCCACACTCGAATCCACACTCGAATCATCCCCTTTCCGATCCGGATCAGCAGCACCAGATCAAGAACGAGCTGGCTTTGGACTTTCCCTGTTAGCCCAGTTAACCCAACCAGTAGAGAGACTCCAGCCAGGCCGAGTTAAGATCGGTTGAATGTACAAAAGAACCCAGAGATCTCTACGATGGGGAACCAGGAGGATGGTTTGGGGAGGAAGGAGTGATTTGCCAGGAGGAGGATGAGAAGGAGTAGGAGGATCTGCCCCAAAAAAGTGCGCAGGCGTCGCTGATGAAGGAAACGCAGTTAATTATTAAGTCAGTTCTGCGGATCGCAGAGATCCGATCCGAACAACCCAACACGATAATGCAGCTTAGTTCGGTAGTTGAATATAGATACGAGTAAGATGAACAAGCAGCAGCAGCTGCAGTTTGCAACTGTACGAAAATATATGTATGTACGTATTTCTCTCAAACAAAAACAAAAGCTACCCATTTAGCCTAGGCGAGCACTATGAATTTTCCGAACTATAAATTATGAATATGAATATACTTAAACGTCAGTGAATATAACCCCGCATAAATTATGAATACACGCGTTCGAGTAGTAGATTTTACCACATAACTATCCATGTAAGGCGAGTTAGGCAGAGCAGAGCAGAGCACATTTGTAGACCCAGCTAAATGTTCTTGAAACAAAACAAATTGTTTAACAATTTTCGGACCCCTCACAATCCCCTCGAAAGCAAAAAACAAAAAGAAGCACACACACTCCGCAGTCTAGGATAAATTTTGTCGTGTATGTTCGTCGTGTCGTGTCCTTTGATACCTTCTAAGTTCCTGTATATAAACTAAGACAGAAGCCAGCACTCGATAACTAAATTAGAGCAGATATACTATATACTGCGTACCAGCAGAGATATTCAGTATGTGTATGATATGAACTCGGATTCGATTTTAGCAAATGATTACTCGTCTCGATGAGTGTGTGCATGTTTACTCCATAGTTGAAGTCGCTTTCGAATTAAACTAACTCCAAAACCAAGAAAACAAAAACTTAACAAAACAAATGAAAACAAAACTACTCGTAAAAGCTAAAGCAACAAAAAACTAAAGAGAAGTACATTTTACTGAAGTAAGCGTGAGTGTGAGGGGAAAAGTCGAGGAGGAGGAGTAATTAGCATACCGTAACAGCTACTTACTTACTATATATAACTTACACATAGTACATATTGTAATCGTACATATGCATACATATATTTTCATGTGTATCGACGCCGCTTGATCCTGATATTAAGTCTAAGTTTAGTTGTGTTGTGTAATTATCGATTTTGTTAATGTTTTGCCCCGAGCATTATATTATTATGCCTAAAACCTATACCTACACCTAAACCTAAACCTAAACCTAAACCTAAACCTAAACCTACACCTATGCCTATCATTATATGTGTATAATTAGCCTATACATACTTGATGAAGAAATGATTTCACCCACTGCTTTATTCATGTTCTTGTATTATTATTATTTCGAGCCCTCGATAAGTTGTAGTCTAAAGTCGGTTATGTTTATGATTATGTTCGATTATAGTTTGTTTAGTGAATTTTAATCTAGCGTTAGCAATTCTCTTTTTTAAAAAGTTAATTATTGTGAATAAAATACAACAAGTTGCAGCAGTGCAAAAATATACACACAATTCAAAAGTATCCCAACTATTTCGCGGCATTATCCAATCCGCATTATATCCTTTGATTTCCTGGCTTCCTTTGATTTGTTTTTGGTTTTATCATCTATGATTTCGGTAAGTACACCCAAGAGGAGGATGTTCACACATCGCAAGCGACCTCTCGCCATCGAATTTATTCATAGACATCCAGATACTCGTACTCGTACAGAACGTAAGGCAAAATACGTATGTTCTGCACTATTCGTAAGCAGATCAGTTCGTAATCGCCACTCTCTCAGCCAAAAACAAAAAGAAAACTAAACGTTTTCTGATCATCAAACACTTTGCCAATAATTTCAAATATTTTGTGAATTTCTCTTTCTTTTTCTTGTGTTTTTTGGATTTTTTTTGCCACTGTTATTGTAATACAGCGCTTAAATAAATAAAAACTAGAATTAATAGTCTTGTTTCGGCATATGTCTTAAGATTAAATAAATTATTATGTAACTGTGTTTTCTGAACTTTTCTGGTAAATGGGTAGGTATTCAGTTTTAAAAACCTTGCAATAATTGTAGGAAGTTATGTTCCCCATTGGTTATGCTAGAAAGCATTTCTATCCATTTGATTTGGATCGTCTTTAATCGTTATCTAATAGGTAAATAGGAAGTAGGTTTGGAAAGCTTTTGTTCATTAAGATCAAGATTGATTGGTTTTCTAGATAATGAAGCTCATATATCACTTAAAACAAATCAATTCAATTTTACGGTTGGCAATGTACATTTTTACTGCGAATCTAATTGCTACGCGTTTCGACTTACGTTAATCCCGAACAAACGCAAAAGCATTGGTTAATTGAGAATGTGCAATGTACAAGTGTAATTTAAAAAAATCTAAAAAATGGAAGAAGCTGTGAATGGGCTTAAAATAGTCCTTTGCTAATCTTCGAAAATTTTAACCTATTGCATACGTGCAGCTCTTCAATTATCGATATCTAACAAATTTTTTTGTTGCCTGGGTTTATGGTAAGGGATGCCTTAAACTTCGATACTCCTGTAAAAGCTTGATTTTTATTATGAAAAGATGTATATACATATGTATATAGTAGAAAAAGCAATAAATAAGCTTATAAAAATTATTAACTAACAAGTTCCTTGTCTTTTGAACTGCAATTAGATGTAGTGATAGAAGCTGATAAGTGCTGAAGTTTGTTTAAAGTATTTCATTCTTTGATCCGCCCGAACCTATTGCGTAATGAATATTTTTCACGAAAAAATGTTTTACCAATTTTTGGAATATTCTTGTTAATGGGTTTGCGTGTTTACCTAAAAAGTATACAACTTGCATAAAATATAAGCTACCATTTTTAAAAGCAGATATTGGGGAATTGTCAGATGCCAACTTCTTCATGAAGAACTAGTCTAGTGAAAATAACTATAACATTATTCCTACATTTTAAAATTGTCCGCCACTAATGAAAAGAATTTGGAATTTAAACGAGGTTGAAAGTATTATTTTAGAACAAATAAATCATTGTCCAGATCAAATATTTGCATTGATAATTGCCTTCGCCTTGAGTCGTAAAAGTAAGCCCGGCAATCTCATGTTTGTTTAAATGGCATTCAACCCCTGCCAAGGGGTTGTAACGTTTCCAAAGCTGATAAATGCATACATATTTATACATGGATTTGTTTGTGCACATATTTATGTACCCCCTGGCGCACAGATGTATCTACCTATATAAATTTAAATAAGTTTCCATCGATGCTGAGCTTAGGGCTTCGGGGAGGAACACACGATGAAATGCACCCTGCTGGGTGGACACTTGGCATTTCCCCTCTTCGAAGTTCGCAGACTGCGAGATAAAGTGCCTCGGTTCTGTTCGGTTTCATGCGTTTTTTATGTTATGTACAAGGCGGCGCTTTCACCCATCGAACAGCTTTCGCCGGGTTGGGTTCATTTGGGTGGGAATGGGGATGGTATCGGTGGGTGGTTGCGTCCAATGAAGTAAACAACCCCCGCCAGCCAACTTCTAGTTTTCAGTGGTGCGAGAATTTTAAAATAAATCGATCAAATCGTTGCTGTATCGAAATAGTCAGACAGTGAAAATTGTAAGAAAAAGGTTTAAAGTCTTTAAAATTAGCTTAATCAATGCATATTTTTGAAATTGTTTAACTTTTGTTGGTTAATGATTTAGTAAAGTGTAAAGTGCGTCTTAACTTTTGACCGATTTTAACTAATCAATTGGTGTCAAGCAACTTATGTTAGAACCCTATGACGTGATCATTTCCAGGTAAGAAATATCAAAATATACCCTGGCTAATCTTATTCTGAAACTGTTAGATGCACCTAAATCGTTATTAAAATAAATAAAAAATTATGACTTAAAACCATATACTATATAACAATGACAATTTTTTTAACGTTAGAAATACAAATTACGTTCGTCTTTTACCTTTCAATAGTTGGTATAGTATAATTATAATATATATACTTTACGTAACGTACAGTAAAATTCATTTATTGTTTATTAAACTTATAATCATCGACTTCACCGTTTGTGCTGGCATCCAATTTATTTGTAGCCGATAATTCCACAAGGAAACTAATGTTTGTAGAGTTTATGCTATCCTAGACTACAAGATTCAGCTCATCAACACCCTACCGAGCAATTTACCACTTTTGGAAACATAATCTAAATCTTAATACTTCTATTAGTTATCCTGGGCTTTTTAAAAGTGTTTAGAAAACAAAGGATTTTTATGTTTAAAATCTTATTCGATGATATAAGTCTGGTTTAATCAATTTCTTATTGCTCAAGATGGTATGTTGTATTTGGTATTACTTTTTTATGTGGTGGAGTTATCAATAAAATACATGAGCAAAAGTGAAATTACTTGCGGTGCAAAAGAAATTTAATAATTTCTTTTGATCATGGAGACATTTGTTTTAAATGTTAAGTGTGATTCTAATTGCAGTAATTTTGTATGATCTTCTTAGTAGGTTCAAAAATAATATTCTAAATTAAAAATTGATATCTCGAAGTATTTTTTATGTTATTGGCTTAATTTAAGAAGGTATTTTTCTAGGCTGTAAAACTTTTAAAATATATAAGTTGGCTGGGAAATTTATCTTGGAACATTTGAGGGTTAAAGCACTTTTTACCCGAGGGATCCATGTCGAATTCGCGGCATATGCGGGGTAATGGTAAAAGGTTGTCGCAAAGTGCCCGAGGATGGCTGAAAATATGTACCTAATTCAATACGATTCGATCTGGTAATCAAAAGATAAGCGCGCTGATGGGCGAAAGACGGGATTCGGATTCGGATTGGGATTCGGAGGCCATTGGGGGTTGAAGAAGTCGGATGAGCAGAATGTCGAAGGAATAACAATCAAATGATTAGAACAACAACCACCGCGCTGGGAAACTGGAATTCAAAATTGACTCGTCGATGTCGTCAGCCTCGCCTTCAGTGCCTCCACTTCAGCCTCGGATTCAGAGCCAGATTCAGATTCAGGTTCAGCCGCAGTAGAGCCAAAGTCGAGTTTTCGGGTTGAGCGACGCTCCCCGGACTTGTTTCGCACATAAAGATACAAATGTATCTGCGCCAGACAGCAAATGGCGTATATAAAATGATTGGACATGAGTCGGTGCGCTGTGTATGTGCCTCGGTGTGTGTATATGTGTGTGTATATATCGGGGCTCCAGTGTATCGGGTGGTTGTTTCGGCCAAGCTGCATGGCCGCAGTGCGAGCGAGACGGGGCTACTCCGCACGAAAGAGAGGTGAGATACACGCGCGTTTTATGGCCCGCCGCCGCGTTGCCTTTTGCCTCCTCTCCTCTTGGCTTTTCATCTTTTGGCATTGGGTCTTCGCTGGGCGAGTTCTCATTCTGTTCCTCATTCTCGCTTCTCATTTCCTTGGCGTTCTCGCAAGTGTTGCCATCGGTGGCAGCGCTGCCCGGGTTTACGACCTTCTGGTTGGCGTTCTTTTCCCACTTTTTCCCTCCATTTCGAAGGGGTCTTCTCTCTGTAGTTTCTCCGTCTCCGTTTCTGTTTCTGTTTCGGTTTCTGTTTTCTGGTTTTTGGCTTTGGTTCTGCTTGGTTGCTGGGTTTTTTGTGTGCCATGCTCACCTCGCATCCTCACAGAACTCACATCCTCGACAGCATCTCGACAACCACCTCTGCTCGGCAATATATCTGTATCTATGTATCTGCGTATCTGTATCTGCGCCGGTTCGTCGACTGCGCTGCAACCGAAGCAAAGCGAACTGAACGGAGCGGAGCTCAACTGAACTGAACTGAACGGAACGGAACGTAACGAACCCAACCGCCGCCTTGTGTCAAAGTGAACAGCAAATATTATTTTTTGGACACTTTGCCATCAGGTCGCCGTCGCCGTCGCGTCGCCCGGAGCTGAATGACTCGTAGTCGTCGACGTCGTCGTCGTCGTCCTGCTCCCCGTTCGTCGGCCATTGTCCTGCGGAGCTCCTGCAGTTCCTGTCGTCGCATTCGAGGTCCGACTGTGGCTCCCGGAGCCACGGCCTTTTGTCTGCGGCGGTGCATCAATTGTGTTTAATTGAATCCGTCGAACAAAGCCTGCCTAAAAAAAACAAGGGGGATCCAAAAGAATACCAAAGTATACCCAAAAAAATATATCCAAAAAAATGGAAGAGAAACCAAAAGAAGTGGCTGTAAATCAAGAAGAGCCGGTTCGGGTTCGTTTGTTGCCAAAAAATACAAGAATTAATTATAATAATGACAAAGAAACAGGCACTTTGACCCCACGACTCCGCGTTCGCATCCGCATTCGCATTCGCATCCGCATCCGCGCGCGTTCGGTTGGCCAATTGTGAATGTGGATTACAAATTCGCGTGTGCGAGCCGAGGAAAAAATATGGAATATGGAAAAACAAAAAAGAACAAAAAACAAAGAGAAAACAAAATGAATTTGCCAGCATTTCCGCCTTGCGGTTTGGCAAACTGGAAGGGACAGTGGTGCCGCTTTTCAGACTTTCAGAGCGGGCTCCTCGAGTGCGCGGGGCGTGACTTCAATTAAAGTGATTTGTGGCCTCCGTTTCTGACATACGAGACGTAAATAGCGGCCCTGAATTATGGAGCTGCTAAAGTATGCATATTGGAACATAGTCCTCGCTCCACCTCAGCCAAACACACTCGCCAGTCACGCGTTTCCACCAGAAAGCGCCTCCAAGTTGGTTAACTGAAGGGTTCCGTACTTGAGGTAAGTACATCCGATACAATCAACGCAATAAACTAGTAGTTAACAAAGTTATTTGTCAGAGAAAAACTGGCAGTTAGCAATAAGTATTAAGTAACCTAATAGAAGGGAAATTTTATACATGATTGAATTTTAATAAATGAAAAGTAAACTTGATTTTAACTGTACAAAATCCAATAACGTCATAAGAATAATACTTTTCATAGAAGGAAAATAATGACACCACGTCCAGCAAAGAAATATTTGTTTGAATTAAAGTAATTAAAAATCATATTCTTTTGAATGGCAAGCTTTTACTATTAACAATGTTGTCTTAAATAAAATTCAGATGAAAATGTAGAATGTGTACTTTTAATTTCATTTAATTTCAGGTATTGTTACACTGTATATTTTCTTGTAAATTTTAGTAGTTGACTGAACAGAAACCAATTAAAACTCTTTCAAGCTCTAACTAAAGTTATAATAAGTTATTATAATACAATCTGCAATGTTGTCACATTATGTTTTGCATACCAATAATACAATACAGACTAATTCTTAATGATTGAGGTTTTCAATAATATATTTTCGTTCTGAAAGGCTTATTGTCTTGAAAATGTAAACTCCAAAGCACTATATTATATACCCAAATATCAAACAGGGAATTTGATACATTTTAAAACCTTAGAAATGCGGAATGTGTATTTCGCTTCCCAAGCCCAAGCTTGTTGAGAATCGAGGAATAGTTATATTACCGAGAGTTTCCGGAAGGAGAGCAGCATTCGAATGGCAGACAGGTAGAAGGAACCTCTTAAAGGGTTCTACTCCTTCCCGAAGTGATTTATTGAAGTGCGAAGAGAAACCCGCGGAGAGGCCGGGCAGAGTGACGCAAAATGCGGCCGAGATCCGCAGGATTTGGCAGGATTATGCTGATGACAATCCGGTTCGGGTCACTTCCAAAATCCCGTTCGAGTCCGAGAAATTTCTTGTCCCGGCGAAAGCGTGAAGGCGGGTCATTTATGACCACATCATAAACAGCTAACAGCAGCTCGGGCCTCAAAATATTTTGGTCAGAACAAAGGGCAGTTCGAGACCGTGGCTAATTCTCGGTTGGAGATCGAAGCAACGGGTTGGGAGAAACTAGAGCAACTCAGCTGGAGGTGGGCGATGATGTAACTGCAGCATATGGCACTTCCTGCCCGCCGAATCGAACAGCCAATGAATACATAAGGGCCATAATTGATGACGTGCGGAATGGTGTTCTGTCACAATTTAATTGCCGGGGGCAAAGCCATCCACCCACGGAAAGCGCGTGCTGAGTTCCCATCGACAAATGGCGGCGGAAATTAATGGGAATATGTTTCAGAAGAACATAAATGGAGCGACATGTGTACGATACTCATGCAGGCAATCGTGTGTCACCACCGCCTACATCCATTAAAATTCGAAGGGCTCCAGGGCATCCAGGGTTTGGTTCGGGGGTTCGGTTTTTGGGTACCATCTTATCAGTTCCGCCGAACAGGCAGGCAAACCAGGCGGCCCAAAAATAATGTAATTTATTCCGACACTTTCATAAAAAGAGACCAAAACTCTCGGCAACAAAGCAAGACATTATCGCCGCATAATTAATGCCACATGTTGCAATGCGCTGCAGCGAGACAATAAAAAGCCAGTCGCTCGGTCGCTCGGTCGCTCCTTTTGTCCCCGACTTTTGGAGTCCCAGAAGTGGAGTTGGAGGCATTGTCGCCTCACCCATGAGATATCATAAAGCCATCCCGCTTTTAATTGCCCGCCTAGAACGCCTCGGTTCGTTTCCATATTGAGCGCTCCGTCTCATTTGCATAAATTTATCGAAACGAAAATCAGCGACGGAAAAGCCTGAAAATCCTGTCCCGAATGGTTTCCTCCGTCCATCAATTTTTTCTCCGTCCGCTTTCGCCTCCATCTTCGCTGGCATTGCGCATGCGCCGCTCTGCCAACGGAGGCCATTATAAAATGGGCGGAGTCAAGAGCCGTTAGCTCACCACGGGCTCAGCGGGGTGTGGTGAGTTTCTGCAGCGACCCTTGTTGCCTGGTCGGTGTGGTGGAAGGGGTTGAGTACGCAGGAACCCCTAGATATCGAGTATCCATGACAGTTTCACACGGTTCCCAGAATTTTGTATACCCGCATGTCCTTTGAATCACAAAGGTTTTTCATTTTAAAATTTTCTTTTGTGGGGGATGTTTTTTTTATAAATATCTGAAAACATCTCTTTGTGAAACTATCTTGGTTCGATTTGTAAGATTGCAGACCTTGCTGACAACATTTTGCTGACAAGACGTTAAACAAAAATTTTTTGTTTACAGGCTAGTCTTATATAGAGGAAATTAGCTTCAATCGATTATCTTTATATAGTTTAAATAAATGCTTATTATTTAAAAACTTGAAATAGCTTAGATACACACGTTTTTTTGTGATAGAAAACGAAACCTTTCTGATTTTTTAATACATTTTCAATGTAATTTTTTGATAAGTCCATGTAGCTGATTTGGGTTATAGCAACCAGTAATTTAGTTGACAACTAAAATTCAGTTTGCCCAAATATTTTGGCAAAAATATTTTCTGTTTTGTCGTAGCTTTGTTATTCAAATTGAACCGTGATAATACAACTATAGTAGAATCCGGTAAAAGCTACTTTTAAGGGACCGACGATTTTACTTCGTTATATCACTGACCAAAAGGAGCAAAAAACATTTTTTTTGCTTTACAACTAAAACTAACAGGGAGTAGTGAGAGTGTAAGAATCTTCGTGCCAATCACTGATAAATACAGACATTTGTTGGCATTATTTCAGTGTATTTTTTTTTCGGCACGACTTAATAGTCGGTTGAATTGAGAAAAATTTCGTTCTATACGAACGGTTTGTCGTTAAAACCGGCACAATAAAAAACATACTAAGCGGAGGCACATTCATACAAGTTTGTATGGGGACCAACCAAGACATCGAGTTTTCGTCGCAAAACCCGGACGGACACTATATGCGGCGTCGTTATATCAGGATTTACTTTTTTATTTACTTTTTCGACTAACGTATAATAGCTAAAGATTGAGACGTATCCGAAGGATAGGTAATATATTTAAATTATTTAATAAAGCTACAGTGTTTCCTTTCCTTTTTTTCTAGTTAAAATTTTGTACATTTTTTTGAGACCTCGAATATTACTCCTTAAAGTGTTTAAATTTGTAGTAACATTCTACAGCAGAGCCAATAACGACAAACTTTGAAAATTGTTTAGAAAAAGACTTCTTAGTACGAACATTTATAAAAAATCGTTAGAACAAAACTTAGTTGATTTATGAGCTTCGCTTTAGCCTTTTTAACGGTTTACACTGTACTATGTAGCTTATGAGCTTAATATTTTTTTAATGCAAAACCTAAAAAAGTTTGAAATGTGCTCTTCAAATTATTAAATTAAATATATCAGTCTGAAAAAAGTTATCGAAAATTGTCTACGCGTCTTTTACGCACAAGCCGCCCCGCCAAGCGACCTCTGGTGTTGCAGTTGTTGCTTTCTAGTTCCTCACTGCCAGGGCCAGGTGGCGCTGTAAGGCGCCATTTTCTCTTCTCGCTTTCAAGGCAGAGAATCGAACTCTTCGCTCGCTCACCAACACAATGCAGCTCGCAGTTTGCCTCTGTATGAGTGAGTCTGATTTGAATGTATTTGTGCTGGTTGGCGTTGACGTCGACGCTGGATTTCTTGCCTTCTGAGCAGAAAAATTCTGCTCAAAACATTCCGAATCATTATTTGAAAATTTGAGGAAAATTCTCTCCCAAACGCAAACCAACCAGAAGTGGAAAAACGTATTCCCAGTTAGAGCCCTAATGAGCAAACCTATCCTATTTGTATCCTTCATAAATCTTCCCTTTCCAAGCCAATTAATTTATGGCACCAATGACCAACTCACATCTATTTCACAAATTAAAATTGGTTGCTATCGCTTGTTTTTCCAATTGATTTATGGCAACACATAAAACGTTGAACAGAAAAAAACTGGCAAAGGAAAAGCGAACACGTGGTATAAACTATCAAAGAGAAGAAAATTCTGACGGGGCAGAAGCATTCTAAATGCGTTATTAATTAAACAAATTGTCAGCCGTCGATGTTGGGAAGGAAACTATAATTTATATGCCAGAGACTTGGAAATATTTTCTCGAGTGAGACGTAAGACAGAGGCTCGATGGAAAAGTCAAGTAGCCAATAAATTTGAACCGCAACGGGTATGGAATTTTAAAACAAACCGAAAAGAAAACCTCAACTGATTACAAATGAAAATGCGCGGTTCAAGTGCAGCACTTGTGCAAGTAGAATTGGAATCTTTATGGATTCCCCACAAGGAATTCGAATTCAAAAATGGAAAACTGCAGCCATGATTCCCGTTTTTCGATATCCAAACTTGTTTGACAAATGGCTTCTTTCGATTGCTGATTACTCAAGTGCACTCTATTGAAAGATTATTTTCAAAGGACCCTCGTCATTGGGCATAATTCGCTTGTCAAAATAATCGAGAGGAAGTCGTAAATTCCCCGGTTAATCATATTCGAAGGGAAAGGCAAGTACTTGGATTCTTGCATCTGTAATTAAATCTTCAATCTCTTTTTGGATTGTAGTGTTTGCCACCCGCATTTCGACATTTGCATCTAAATGGTTCCTTCTTTTCAATATGGTAAAACCAGGTGTCACGGCTTTACGCTCTCTATCTGAACTTCTCGCACGGTCTTCATTAATGAAGACACTTAATTAAGAATTCATAAAAGCCGAAACAAAAGCTTTATTTGGCACAGTGGAAGAGGGCAGAGAAAGGCCAGCTTTTGTTCTATTCATAACAGCTCATTTGTATTGTTTAAATTCGGCTTACAGTTGTTATTGATTTCTTAAGGTGTGTGCGGATCTATAAAAACTGTGACAATCCAGGAAATGATTTTAATAAATTTCAGAGTGCATATAAACTGCCTTAAGAGCTGTAACTTACATAAATAAAAAAC